ATAAACAAGCAGAGAACTAAGAAAACCTTGAATCAATGAGATAAAGGAAATGGACAAAAGAAATGTCATGCCATCAGAATCGAAGCGGAGGATAAAACCATTCATGAAGGCAGGACATACAGTAAAACAGCTGATAGTATGTGAGAGAAACAGCTCAATTTTGGGGCATGCAGAATTGTTGATTTCTAAATGATGTTCATATGGAGATACCTAGGAAGTTTTTACATGTGCAGACCAAAACCTGCATTATCTAAAATAAAGTCTAAATGGAAGATAAAAATATGGTCTCCATGAGCCCAAATAAAGACTATGGTCTTGAAAAACATCTTCCAGAGGCCGATGCAGTGGCTTAACAGCCAGCACCAGCATCACATATTGGTACCGATTCAGGTTGTGGCTGCTCGTGGCCTGGGAAAGCAGTGGAGGATGGCTCAAGTCCTTGGGCCCCGCACCCACATGGGAGACCCAGAAAAAGCCACTGCCTTTGGATTGACTCAGCTCTGGCTAGTGCAGCCATTTGAGGAGTGAACCAGGAGATGGAAGAGCTCTCTCTCTCTCTCTCTGTCTCTTCTTCTGTCTATAAATCTGCCTTTCCAATCAAAGTAAATGTTAAATAATTTTTTTTAAAAAAACAGGTCTTCCCAAGAGATCCATGAAGAACACAAGAATATCTTGAAAATAACAGATATGTAAGAACAGAATGATCTCATCAAGCCATTAAGCCATCTCACTGAACTTCAATGAGATTTTGATTTATTAGCAACTGCTAGTCGAGAGAAATAAAATTTATAATCCAAGTATCTTTTCTTATAATAACAGATTTTTTTTAAAAAATTTTTCACTTGATTTACAAGTACAGAAATAAGCCTATTTTTCCAAAGACAAAAAGTATAAATCAAAGAAATGTTTGGTCATTTTTCTTTATATATTACTTAGAAATCACTGGAAACTCAGCCCTCTGCCCATCCCAAATATTAGGAAAATTAAGATTTGAGGAAGCTTCAGTAGAATCTCATGACTCAAGTCATGACCTGGCTTTTAGCAGAGCAAGTATGCAAATTTCCTGTAACACAGATTTTATGCTCACCTGGCAGAAAGTGGGCTGAGTGTTACAGCACCTGATGCCAGGTAGATGAAAAAGAACTGGCAGTTCTTTCAGTTCTGCCTTGGTCATGAACTCTAGAGGCAGCAAGAAAATAATGGGTGAAAATTAGCCTAAAGAAACTTCCTCAATTTTGAAATAACACAACCTCAAAGACCTTACTTCCAGAGGTATAAATATTAAAAAAGCAAAATTAGCTTGCTTTTATTGTAACTAATGCAATGCAAATAGAAAGGTTACTGTAATGACACCTCACAATGAAATTATACTTAACAACTTTGTTTCATGGCACCTAGCAGAGAATACGCTGACAATAAGCACCAAATCATACATGCTGACTACAAAGAACTGTAGAAAAAGGAAACACAAATGAACTCCAATATTCTTTTTTATCCCTTAGAGAGAGAAAAATTTTGTACCCACATTCCAGATGAAGACCTGTTTATAGAAAGCCAATCTGGAGATTCAGTCTTGAAAAACATATTTCTTCTTTTGGCAGTACTCAGAGAAAGGATTTAAAAAAAAAATGGCTGGGATCACTCTTCAGCCTAAACACAAGTCATGTTTAAACTTTGAAGTTTGAAGAACAAAGACTGTACTAGTTGAGTATTACCATTTTTGTTGTGAAACTATCTAATTATCGCCATCAGTTAATCAGAACAGATTAGTAACAGAAAATAAGCCTGATTTTAAAAGCACTCATAAAAAAATGTAGAGACTTTTAGCAATGCACAGTGAGTACGCAGCTATTCATTATTACTGGGCATTCACTATTTGAAAAGGGTCACGGGAAGTGCAACGGGAAAAACAAGAAAAGTTTGGTCTGCAGCATTCACTACACACCTGAGACTACTGTGCAAGGAAAATGTAAAAGGCAACACACGCTTACACATCAAATAAGTAACATTAGCAATAACATCTAAGCAGTGACCACATTCAAGTAAATTCTTTTGCAAGAACTTCAAGCACAGGTCAGTTAGGGTAGTTTTTAGCGCTAATCAGATTTTACTATACTTGATTTTAGCCAAAAGGCCACGTTTCGAAAATAATTTTTAGGAAATAGCAGTAGCAGTAGGGCTGTAACTTCTCAATGGCCAGTCCCTCCAGCTAGAGGGAAAAGGCAAAGCTGATAAGAGCTTACACTAAAAGGACCACTGAGGTCTCTTTGTAGCTGAACAGTTCTCTTCTACAGATGTATTTTATTTGCTTCAAAGGCACGCAGACACACAGACAGAAACCACTATCTTCATTTACTAGTTCATTCCCCAAAGGCAACAGCCAGGAGAAGGGCCAGACTGAAACTGGAACCTGTGAATTCCACCTGGGTCTCTCATCCGGGTGGCAGGAAGTCGATTACCGGAGCCATGACCAGCCACCGCTCAGGGCACACAGCAGCATGAAGCTGGAGGAGAGCCCGCGCGTGAACCCAGATGTGCTGCCATGGGACGTGAGCACCACAGCAACATCACAACTGCTAGGCCAAATGCCAGTGCCTACTTTTTTTTTTCTGAATAAAGTATTACATCTTTAGCACAAATTGTGAAAACAAACTCATAAAGCAACAAAGTACTAACACAAGGGTTTTAAATTCTCACAAACATCTAAAAAACTACAGATTGCCATGTACCACCTCAAACATTTGGAACCAGAATTTATAAAGGTTAGAGTACTTGCACCTTGAGCAAGCACCTGCAGGTGATTCTTGATGCACAACAAACTGTGAGAATTAAGTGTGAGAATCAGTGGGTTAAGTGCATAGTGTTCAGTGGCAAGGAAACCCAATTGCAAAGGTCAGTTCTGATGCTTACAAGGGCTGTCACCAGCAGCAAAGCTCCCTAACATGATTTCCTAATATACAAAAATGGAAAGACGCCACTCCTACCCTGAGTGTTGTGAGGATTCATGATGATGATGATGCAGCATTCCTGGCACATCCAGCAAGCGTTCCATGAATTCATTCACTGAACATTCAATACAAGAGGAGGAACATCTTATGAAGTTATTAAGGAGTAACAAATATGGCAACTCTGCCATGGTGTCATGAGAATCATGACTATTTCAATCAGGAACGTCTTCTTTGAAATGGCTGACTGCTGAGTTGACATTAATTGGCTAAAGTAAGCAAGAGTACTTCTAGGCGCTTGGACATCTCAGGAGATTCCATACCCCGAAGAAGTGGTGCTCCTGAACTGAGAACCAAAAGGAGGACAGGTAGGGGCGAAAGGAGAAAAGGAGTGGAAGGTTGCCCTTGGGACAGGAGGCTGACAGGAAGGCCCCTTCAAGTTGCGGCTTTTCTTAAAAAGCTACTGACAGGATGTCCTAGAAGCACACTGTGACAAGTCCACTCGGCCAGGTGTGGCACAGCAGAGCGGCCACAGAAGAGGCAGAGCTCGTGCTACTGAGGAAGAGGAGTAGGAAGACTTAAGAGGCAAAATCCCCAGGAGACATCAAGTAGGATGAGCAGAAAGAGGAACTGCCAAACCTTAACGCCTACAGAAAGAAATGGATGGTGATGCTACTGCAAGTGAAAAAACACAACCAAACGACCAGTTTGTTTTTCCCTGAGTGGTGAGTGGTCAAAGGATTTCAAATACATTAGGATGAGTAGTAATTCACAATTATAGGGTTAATTTGTCCAAAAATATCCTATTGTATGAAAATACAATGTGCTCATATTTACTTGCCTGTATTTGGATCCAAGAGACAAAGCAATAGGTTTCTTTATTTGTTTGAAAAAAGGTCAACAGGATGAAAGCCCTTATCTCCTTATCTTCCATTAGGCTCCTTTCCTTCAGAAAACCCCCAAAAGCAAATGGGAGGGTTAAGAGACTTTGATGTTGATTCCAAGAAGTCGTTTTTACACAAACCATGAACTTTTTGAAGAATATTTACACAAAAGAAAGAATGACAGGAAGCCAATCCAAAGGAGAGAGAGAGAGAGAAAATCAAATAATGTCTGCAAGGCCTTGTCTTTAAAGTCATCACCAGAATGGCCCCTGTTTTACAACCACACACCAGCCTGGAACATTTTCATTGAACTACTGATCTCCAGAATGGAGACATGCCACTAAGAAAACCTCTTCATGTATGGAATCCAACATTTTTTTTTTAAAGTATCACCGAGCAGAATTATGCCTGAATTAGATCTACAAAATCCTAGCTGGCAACTTTGACTACTGGCCTCGCGCTGGAGACGGACAGAGATGGGCTGGATCTGACAACCCTGGTCTCCTCAAACACTGCTCCTAGGGGTTGGAGCCCAAGAAGTTTCCCCGAGCTCTATGGCTCCAAAGCTTCCTCCACTCTCTCTCTCCCTCGCTTCCGGACAACAAGAGGGCAGGAGCCACCAAGGTGCTTTAGGGTCTTAACAAAACACCTGCCCCACCCACCTCGCACACACAATAACCTTCCCTGCTAGAATCGTAAATACTGTCAGAGCTAAGGCCTGGGCTTGGAGACCCAAGTGACGGGGCTAGATCTCAGACTGAGGGGAGGCGTCTCCCCCAGTCCCAAGGTAGCGTCCAATTTCCCAAAAGGCTGACCAAGATCGCTCAGGAAACCCGAGCTCCGGAGCCCGCGTAGGGGCCTCTCCGTCCCACAGACGAGGCCGGTCTCGGGTCTCCCTTCGCCTGCAGGCCTCTTCCAGGGGACCTCGGTCCTGGACGATCCACTCCCCAGGGCTGGCCGTCGCCCCCCACCCAACCCTGCCAGGCTTCGCGCGGCCCGGCCGGCCCGCAGGCTCCACGTCGTCGCCAGGCAACAGTGGGCGGCCCCGGGGACCCCCCAGAAGGCCCACCCCTGGCGCGGGTCCTTTCCTGGCACCCTCCTCGCCAGCCCGGGGAGCCAGGGGAGAGCGCGGCCCCTGGGGCCAGGCTGCCCGGGGCCAGTGATCACTCACCTTTCTCCTCTCCTCCTGGGAGGGGCGGTGCTGGGGATCGCTCACCCCCACTCCCGCCCCCAGAAAAGCCACCTGCCTGTCCCTGCTCGGTCTCCGCACCTGGCCGCGGTCACCGGTTTACTCCATAGCCTCGGTCAGCCCCGCGGCCGCCGAGGCTGGAGCTGGAGGAGGAAGGGGGGAGGGGAGGGGAGGGACTGGGGAGCAAGAATAAGGGAGGGGGAAGAAGGCGCACAGACCTGCGGGCCTGGCATGACGTCACTTCCGGTGGCCTCGGAAGGGGCGGTGCCGGGCTCTCTCCCCGCCCCCTCAGTCAGGTGGGGGCGGGACGAGGAGCACGGGGAGGAGCCCGCGCGGGATCTGATGGCGGTTCTTTTGACTCCTCGGTTCCGTCACCTGGGCAGCCAGAGCGAGCTGGCGGGCCCAGGCCGGAGTGGTCGGCGTGCCGGGGTCCCTGCAGGTGGCTTCTGCCGGAAGAGGAGGACAGGTAGCCCTGCCTGGATGTTAGGCTAGGATTCTGGGAGGGACGCGGCGGTCGGTGTGGACTCTGCCCCTCCGGTGGCAGGACCACGTCCCCTTCCCGCGCCACCTGTTCTGCCGGGTCCCGGGCTGCGGGCGCGGACTCCTGTTGGAGTGCCCTGGGAAAGGCCGGGAAAGCGCAGCTTCTATTACAAAAGGATTTTTTTTTTAAAAAGGGTTTTTTTTGTCACTTTGTCATAAATACCAAACTGTCATGTAAAATCGCATGTACAAGAATTGCCAAGGGAGGAGACATTAAATTCTTGGCTTCTAAGCCCCAAAACATATAGAAACAACATTCTAGGTATTGCACTTTTCCCTTATAATTGGTACATATTAAAAGCTTACTGGGATGGGGAATGTGACTACTTTCTTTAGAGGGCTTTTTTTTTTTTTGAGTGATATGTTCTAGAATTACATAATAGTGATGATCGCACAGCTTTGTGAAGGCACTGAGAATACAGAATTTAATGGTGAGATTTATGGTATGTGAATTATATCAGTAAAAAAGCTTTACTGTAACTAATTTTTAAAAACAAAATCATTCAGGGGCTGGCACGATGGCTCAATTGGCTAATCCTCCTTCAAGTACTAGCATTGCATATGATGCTCATATTTATTAGTAGTATAATTAAGAATATTTATTTATATGTTTTTGCAGGTTGTTCTGGTCGTTTTCAAGCCACTCAGCTATGGGATGGTATTATTCACTCTCTTCAGACCCAGGTGGAAATAAAAAGGAGGAGGCATCATTTACGAACACACAGAGACTGCTTCACTGGCGCTGATGCTGTCGATGTAGTATTAAGTCATCTTATGCAGAACGTGTGCCTAAGTAGCAGTGACATCTCTCGTCTTAAAGGAGTTCACCTTTGCCAACTTCTAATGACGCATAAAGTGTTTGAACCGGTCGGAATGAAGCTGTTCAAAAACGACAGGGAACTGCAATTTGAAGATTCCAGCAGCAGTCTCTACAGATTTCTAGGCAATAAATCGTCTTATGCTTTTTGCAAGAGAAAAAAAGATGCTGTGCATGGACTGATGGGTGACATGAATACAAAGAATCTTTCCAGGTTCGTATTAACCGAGGTGCTACAAAATGTTGAGTTTAGGCTGTGCAAAGACCGTATTTGTTGAGCCAGATGTGAATATTGTTCTGTCAGATTTTTGCAGAAGGCAATTTTTACAAAACTAATCCACTTTTATATTTTACTCTAAATTGTTCAGAATTTATATGTCCTCTGAAAAATTGATATGCTTTCTAATTTTGAAAAATGACTTAGCTAATGTAATAAAAGCCAGAAATTCAGGTCAATGTTGTGGCAGAGCTGCTTAATCTTTGGCCTGCTGGTTCCAGGTCCCAGCTGCTCTGCTTGCAGTCCAGCTCCCAGCTAAAGGTGTGAGAAAACAGCAGAAAATGGCCTAAGACCCTAAATCCCCAGCACCTACATGGCAGACAGGGCAGGACCTCCTGACTGCTGGTTTGGGCCTGGCCCAGCTCTGCCTGTTGCAACCATCTGGGGAGAGAACCAGCAGATGGAAGACCTCTTTCTCAACTTCTCTTCTTTTTGTAACTTTGCCTTTCAAACAAATAAATTACATCTTAATAAAAAAAAAAATCAGGAGTCTGTGGAAATGCAAGAAAATTTTTCTACTCGATCACAGTAATGTGAACTTTAGAATTTGCCTTTATTTAGAATCCTAGTTTATCTTCTTCATGTTTTATTCTATTTGATTTCTTATTATCTTTTATTGTAAGGTATCAGAAATCCTTTTTGGAAATAAGCAATGTATAAATAAATTTTAATAAACAAATTAAATTGCATACTTGACATTTTAGACTTGTTTTTAATGAAAATGTTTACATATTATTTTTTAGCAGAGCAGAAGATGAAATGATTTCAAATCCTCTAGCACATGAGCTCTGTGAGGAAAGAACTGAGGAACTTATTCATGCAGTGAGTGGGGATCTGCGCTTACCTCGTATCCTGATCAATGAACCTGTTCTCCAGCTTTCAAAAGAAGGTAATTTGAGTTTGCATTATTGTTTTGAGAACTTTGTAATGAAGAACTGACTTTTTAAGGTGTCTTTAAAGCAAATACTGGGTCCGCAGCAGTGAAGTGGGAAGCACCGAGTTCTCAGTACATTCCCACCCACCTGTTCAAACCCTCTCCAGTTATCAGAGTGCTGTCCACAAGGATCCTTTATGTTAACATGTTAATATATTTGTATTTATTTATATATATATGTGTATATATATATATAAAGCCATGCATATGAAGGGTCTTCCAGAATTCTGTTCATGAAAAGTATGTATGAAAACACTATGGATGGACTTCATATTTTCTGCACTAAAGTGAGCTTATCTTTTTTTTTTTTTTAAGATTTATTTTTATTGGAAAGTCAGATATACAGTGAGGAGGAGAGACAGAGAGGAAGATCTTCCATCCGATGGTTCACTCCCCAAGTGACCGCCACGGCTGGAGCTGAGCCAATCCAAAGCTAAGCCAAGCCAGGAGCCTCTTCCAGGTCTCCCTCAGGGTGCAGGTCCCAAAGCTTTGGGCCGTCCTCAACTGCTTTCCCAGGCCACAAGCAGGGAGCTGGATGGGAAGCAGGGCTGCTGGGATTAGAACCAGTGCCCGTATGAGATCCCAGCGCGTGCAAGGTGAGGACTTTTAACCACTACGCTGTCGCGCCAGGCCCACCTCAGCTTATCTGTTAAGTCTGTGTTTTTCTACAGTCTTGAAGTGCTTTCTGGTATTACCAAACCTGCATTGACACGTCATCACTTCATCACTAGCCAGAGCCGGTAGTCAACCTTCGGACACCATCTCGGTGTTGTGCATTTGAAACAATGTGCATTGTTTGGAACAATGCATGATGAAAGGTTGAAATGTATCCATTACTCAGTCTTAGAGAAGAGTTTCACTGCCTTAAAAATCCTTGGAGCTTCCCTTTTCCTCCCTTACACTAGTACTGTTTCCAAAAACTGACGTAGATGTAATGGAAGTAATGTGTGTGTTACTGACTCTCAGCTTCGCTGGAAGAGCTTCCCTCTACGGTGTAGTTACATCAGACAAGGCAGGTGAAGTGTATCATTCATCCTGACCATGACCCAACTAATTGGAGGTGCTACACTCTGTATTGGCTTAGGGCCATCTTCTGTTGCTTTCCCAGACCTTAATCAGGGAGCTGGATGGGAAATGAAGCAGCCTGGATATGAACCAGCGCCCATCTGGGATCCTGGCACTTAAAAGTGGAGGATTAACCGGTTGAATGATTGGGCTGAGCCTGGGATATAGAGAACTTAACTATGAAGCAAAACCTGTTCCTTTAAACATTTTTACTTTTACCTTTACGGTACACACACATATTATAAAGCATTCAAATGACTCTACAAGGTTTTTTTTTTTTTTTAATATCTGCTCCCCGCTGATCTCTCCCTCAGTTCCCCAGACAGCCATTACAACTCACATCTCTAAATAGGATGTTGGCATTGCTACTTTATGATTTTGCAACTTCTGGCACATCTACTTTCCACAGAGGGGTTTGGGCCTCTTTCCTTCCTTATTTCTATCTTATCAAAATTTCATCCTTCAGATAGAAACAGATTACCCTAATGAGGAGAATAAGCTACGTTTATGTGATTTTGGCCAAAGCTTCTATTCAAAGATAACATGTGCATGAAGGCTGTATGCTAACATACGTCAGTATGAAGTTATTAGATAAATTACAAGAATTGATGTTTTGAAATACTGTGTGACCATATCATAAATGCAACATGAACTAAGGAAGGCATGTGTTGACTATTATGTGGATATCTCGCCATAATTATTAATCTGATTAAAATGAAAGTAATGATGAGGCCTCAACCTATGGCTCAGTTAGCTAATCATTCACCTCCAAGCCCCAGGAACCAGTATGGGTGCCAGTTCTTGTCCTGGCTGCTCCACCTTGCCGACTATGGCCTGGGAAAGCAGAGAGGACAGCCCAAAGCCTTGGGACCCTGCACCCACACGGGAGACCAGGAAGAAGCTCCTGGCTCCTGGCTTTGGATCTGCTCAGCTCCAGCCATCGTGGCCACTTGGGGAGTGAACCTGTGGATCTCTGTCTCTCCTTCTAAATTTGCATTTCCAATAAAAACAAATAAATCCTTTTTTTTAAAAGAAGTAATGTAAATATTTTTTTAAATGTTGTTCAAAGCTGAACTGCAATTCCCTTTCCCTTACAATGTTTTGTTTTCCTAGAGAAAGTGTATTTCTACTTGTTGCTTGGCTTAGCTTTTTTACATTTGAACACATTTGCAATTTCAAACTCTTCACCATTTATCTAAATCACCCCTTGGGGTATTCAGATGCATCAGGTGTCTTATCAGCATCCCCTTCTGTGGATGTCCTTTCCCTGAGATGGCTGGTTGCTCTCTCTGCTTGGTGCAGTCTTGTCACACCACGACCTCTCTTCCCATCGTTGTGGGAATTACCTTTTGCCTCTCCTTTGTCGGATCTCCTATTTCCCCTCTGCAGTATTTTCATTTTTCTTGTTTATACTTCCTTTCTATGGTACACAGTTTCTGACAGTATCATTTTTCCCAAATTATCTTTGGGGTCATTTTCCAAAGAATTGAAGCTATTTCTCCTATTGTCATTTAACTTCTTGTCGTGGTATCAACAAAGCTAAAGTCATTCTCTTTTTAAATAAGATTGATTGATGGATTGATATCAAAGGTGGAGTTGCAGGGGAGTAGTGACGTGTGTGTATATACCGCTTGTTAATCTCCCTAAATGACTGCTGGGGCTGGGCCAGGCAGAAGAAAATGTATGATTTTTTTTAATAGTAAGCTGAAACCCAGAATTTTACATGAAATTGCTCCCCTTTTTACACAAGTTGGTTCTTCAAAGTAATTTATAGCTGGGTTAAGAATTTGGGTCCATTGTTAGAATACCAGTTGCATCATTACAGCTCATATCAAAGTGTCCCTTTCAAATCCTGGCCCCTCCACTTCCAGGTAATGCATATTGTAATGAAGGGTCCCTGGCCACTGGCAAGGGAAGCATGTGTTGGGTTCGGGGTCCCTGGCTACAGCATGGCCCAGCCAGGGCTGCTGCCGGCATCTTGAGAATGAATTAGTACATGAAAGATGGCTCTGCCTCTTTCCCTTTCAAATAATAAGTAAAAATTAAATAAACAAAAACCATCAAAGTTATCTTAAAACCAAACAAATTCTGACAGTGAGCCAAACTTAGGGTACTGAGTTAAGATCGCTGCAAGATTTAGTAAACTTTTGCTTCTGTTAGTTGTTTTAATTAAAAGAGAAAACATTGACCTTAATCTGATGGTTAGAGTGAAACAGAACTTAACAACAGAAATGCTCAGAGGCTCAAGTTTAGAATTTACCTAATGCTGTATTTGAATTTAAAAATATTAGTTCTTTGTGTTGCTTTGAATGGAAGGAGTTGTCTTTATACTTTCATAGTCTCTCAGCTGTATAAAATAACTTGTGTGGTTAGTAGCTTTTTGTATTTGGAACTAGCTTAAGATTGACTTTAAAATCTAGCTGACAGCGTTTTTAAATCAAGATAACCAGAAAATAAAATCAACATTACTCTTAACTCTAATGTATATTTAGTGCTGAATCTTGGAGAGAAAAATCGCAACATAGCAAATTTAAATGGTCCTGTCATTAAATTAATTCATTCTAGTGCTATTAAAGTAGATTTGATTTTGTGTTTAGAAGTGAAAGAATTTCCTAGCATTGCTGACTATGTATGTGTGTGATCAGTGCTTGGCTTTGTCTTTCTAAGCTGTGGAAGCTATCTGGAGACAACAGACATTCTTATGTATTCTGCAGCTGATTCACCTTCCATTCTTGGAAAATGTTTTAAAAGCTCCAGCTAAGACACACAGTCTTGGGGTAAGCAAGGAGGAAGACCTTGTTATCGCTAACACTTGCCTGGACAGAGAGCTGATTCCAAGCCTGTGTCTAACTGAGTAAGTGACCTTCTAGCTGTTTTAAACAATTTACAATTGAAGAACTTTTTCGTCTATTTGCCCTTGATGTTTTACTGTAAGACATGAGAATATGTCCATATTGTAAGCTGACACCATCTTTCGCACCTGAATCACTGTGAATTTTAATTTGATCTAGCAAAGTCACTGGCTGTGATCTGCAAGATCATTGGAAATTGGTTTCATTCATGTGAATTCATTTACGTATCAGTTGTCTCTCCTGCAGCAGGCGGAGTTGTATCATTTCCATTATATGAGCCTAAAATAATACAATCATCACAATTTCTACAGATTTATCTACTCCTGCTATAAATGAATCCATAGTCTGGTAGGGGAGAGATACATGAGAGAAAAAAATAAAAACTTTACCCCAAGGAAATAAGCCTTATCATAAAATAAGCTTCATTTCTGGGTGAGAGATTGAGGGAGTAATTTTTTTTTTAAAGATTTATTTCTTTTTATTGGAAAGGCAGATTTACAGAGAGTATTGTCCCCAGATTTTGAGCTCCCCAGAAATCCTCAGGAATCTGAAGTTGATGCGAACGCTAGGACAGTCTATGCAGACTAGCCTGGGCTCCCAGCCGCCTCCCTCCGGGACTGGGAGAGCAGCAGCCCCGAGGTCAGACAGCACGGGGCTTTTATACACTTTAGATCAATTCCACACAATGTCACAGTCGTGATTGGTCAGTCTAGCTGTTAACTTTTAAAAAGAACAAGTTGGCAAGCTTCCATTGGTAGGTTTGAAGCAAGCATCTTTCAAATAGTACAAACTGGTGGACTGTGGGGTAGTGAGCAAGTCTTATCTAAAAAGCACACCAGGGGCTCCTTCCTAAGGAATGCTCTGCCTGCCTGACCTGCTGCTGGGTCAGCACCTGGGTCAGCACCTGGGTCAGCACCTGGGTCAGCACCTGGGCTGTGGGTCCTGGAGGTCCCCACCCCACCCCCGCCCGCAAGCCAAGCAAGCAAGGCAGAAACCACAAAAGCAGAAAAGACTGAGGTTCCTCAGGAGAAAGAGATACAGAGAGAAGTATCTTCCATCTGCTGATTCACTCCCCAAGGTACTGTAACAGACGGGCTGAGCTGTCCCAAAACCAGGAGCCAGGAGCTTCTTCCAAGTTTCCCATGCAGATACAGGGTCACGAGGCTTTGAGCCACCTTCTACTGCTTTCCCAGGCCACAATCAGGGAGCTGGACGGGAAGCAGAGCAGTTGGAATACAGACTAGCACCTGTATGGGTTGCTGGCACATGCAAGGCGAGAACTTTAGCCACTAGGCTACTGTACTGGGCCCTCAGGAAATTCTTATCCATAAGTTACCCTTCCTAGGGTTTCCTTCTCTTTGATTTTGTCACTATTCTATTTGTCACTCTTAAATAAAGCAGCTTCTTGTAAGATATTGAGTTCTGCTAGGTGCCAGCAGAGAGAACTAGTGTATGCTCTCCCCCCCACCCCCCCCACCCCCTGTGGGCCAACACTAGGAAAGAACAGCAGACTCCCAGGCTAAGTACCTGGAGATTCCAGATTCCAGATCCTGGAAGACTTGAGTGATCATAGTCTTGTGGGCCCACGTGGCTGGTCACATGTGGTTCTGTTTACACAAGGCAGGTTCCCCTTTTCCACACTAGCCAAGAACTCCCCACAAAGGGCTGAGTCTTCCCTGCCTTGCTTCAAGACCCTAAGAAAAGGAACAGAGGTGTTTTTCAGGTGCTGCTGCAGAGAACAAATAGCAACCAGCCTGCCGTAGGAGTTGCAAGAGAAAAACAACCTTTTGTCTCTTCCTGACAGTACTAGGATCTAGAAGATAGGAATCACACCTTAGGTCAAATGTAAGGTTCATGCGTCAGGGGAGAAATGGAAGGAGGGAAGAGATGGATGAAGGAAGAAGAGGGGATGTGAGGAGTGGAAGGAGGGAGGGAGGGAGAAAGGGGGAGATGTCAGAAAAGGAAGCAGTGTACTTGGGGTAAGCAGAGCCTCTGGACTGTAAAAGTGTTTAATATCTTATTTTCAAAAAATGATAAAACCACATCATCTCATTATTATTCCTGGGAGAGTGAGAGAGGGGAGTTGATGGTTGTTAAGGGAATGGAATGATTCCGATAGACTCCTGTAAAGACAAACAGTTATAAATAAATAACAAGATCACCCAAAGTATTTTAAATCCGCCCAAGTTGAATACATGAGTGTGGTGGTGTTTGGCAAGGGAGTCATCCTGTTACTCATTCTTTCAATCATCCAGCCAAACACGTTGACTTTGTTCTCTTCAAAAAATGGACTTTTCTTTAGATTTGGTTAAAGATAACCTTCAATTTTATTACACAGTGCTTTTTTAGTTAAATAATAACTATGATTATATATTTTATATAGAAATATATATCATATATTATATATTTTATACATTTATATATAATATGTCATATAATATATATAAACATATAAATATTTTATAAATCTATGTTTGTGTTTATAAATATATTTCTATATGAATATATAATATACATGATATATTATGTATTTTATAACTATAAATATTAACTATGATTTATTTTGTTTTGCATTTTCCATCCAGAATTGATAACTGGCTTAATGCAGCAGTTGAATGCTTGGAGTATTTCCCTGACCAATTAATAGTTAAAGTTAGTCAGCAGCTAATGCAAAACGAAAATGAAGAGGCAAGATTGGATATTCAGAAGAAATTACTCTTTGATGTCATAGTAAAATATTACAGTCAACAAGAGAGATGTTGCCTATTAACTGATGACTATTTTGATATTCATTTGGGAATTATTGAACTTTTAGGTAAGAAAGAACTAGTGAACTTTCTCTGTCTCTCCTTGTCTCTGTCAATCTGACTTTCCTATAAAAAGAATGTTTTTTAAGAAGTTTATTTTGGTGCATAAGATTTTTTAAATCCATATATGTTTTTTCATAATATGCATGTTTATAAAATTTTGAACACTTTTTATATACTATAAAGCCAAAATCTAAGATACAACATATCACAGAATCTTCTGAGAAACATATATTGATATAGCACAAGGATTAGAGGCATGAGATCTCTGGAATCACCAGCTTATAATATATATATATATATATATATAATTTTTAAGATTTATTTTCTTTAATTAGAAAGGCAGATTTACAGAAAAGAGGAGAGACAGAGAGAAAGATCTGCCCATTCATTGTTTCACTCCCCAAGTGGCTACAATTGCCATGGCCAAGCCGATCTGAAGCCAGGAGCCTCTACCAGGTCTCCCACACAGGTGCAGGGTCCCAAGGCTTTGGGCCATCCTCGACAGCTTTCCCAGGCCACAAGCAAGGAGCCAGAGGAAAAGTGGAGCCACTGGGACATGAACCAGTGTCCATATGGGATCCCAGCATGTGCAAGGCAGAGATTTAGCCACTAAGCTAAACTTTTATTAATTTGGTGACCTTTTAGCACAACAAAGATTGAATAATATGATGTCACCTTTTCAGCACATAAGTAGTCAAATGATTTCATCTTAAAAGCATGATACCATGGCCAGCGTTGTGGTATAGTGGGCAAAGCTATCATCTGCCGTACCAATATCATTTATGGGTGCTAGTTTGAGTTCTGGCTGTCATGCCACTTGAAGAGTAAACCTGTGCATGGAAGATCTCTCCGTCTCCCTTTCTCTCTGTAACTCTTTCAGATAAATCTTTAAACCAAAAATAAAACCATCATACTATTTGGTAATGTGGCTGTAATCACACCTCGTATTATGTAGAATTAAATAATTCCCTTTGTATTTGAAATATTTTCAAGTAAGAATTGCAATGAAAAAAAAAGAGCAACTTGCAAACCAAATACAACATCCTAGTATTTTAACCAACTGCTAGATACCCTACCCCCCATCGTCTCTTCGCCTTCTTTGTCATTGCCATACAGAAAATGAGAAGAGAGCAGAAGCGCTTGAAGCAACCCAGCTCTACCTAAGACTGCTATCACCCAACGTCAGGGAGGAGTTACGTCGGCTACTCACTTTTATGGCTGTTGCATCAGAGCCCACTGGCTACAGGTTGCAAAAACAGGTGAAAACATTTATAGCTTTACAATTTTTTTAAACTTTTTTTGTGTTGTAAATATCTCATGCTTATGTTCATCTTCCTATTTTCAGTGTGATAACAAAACAGTGGTCATGAAAACTCTTGCCAAAGCAGTTCTGCAAACCAGATCGTTGCTAAAAGTCCGGGCAGAACAACTGACCTGCTTCCTACTGGACTTCCATGCTGAGCTCTTCAAGGTACCACTGGCATTTTGCCTGGACACATTTATTACAGAGCTATTTATGTCAAGCAAAAAGGCAAATCATCCACTTAACAATTTACTGAGTAACTGTAATGAGCAAAGTTTAAAGGAATGTTGTTTCCCTGCATCCACTAAAGAGAAGGAAGCTGACTTCAAAACCTTTCTGTATTTGCAAATATATGCATTAAAGTATTCAACTTGTTTCTTATGCTGCACTGCATGCCAGCTACTGTTCTGGCTGATCGGAATCTGTGAACGAAATACAAAGAGGCAGGAGGCCTAGAGGAGCTTCTATCCAGGGAAGACAGGCAATAAGGACAATCAATTATCAAGTCCTGTAGTTTGATAGGAAGTGATAAATGCCTTAAGGGTGGGGGAAGGTCAGAGAGACTCAGTGGGTGCTGGAGTCTGGTAGGCAGGAGCTGCAGGTGGTGCAAAGAGTGACCCAGGTAGCTTGCTTCTCCTTGAAGTAAAGCCGAGGGATGGCAGGTTCTGAGCATCGCCGTGGAAGGGAATGATGACGTTTATAAAGAGAGCTCGGGCTTTGGGTTGGGAATAAATGATCAAGTGGCAAGTGGAATGCAGAAAGAACAACCTTCCAGAGATCTGGAGGCAAGAGAAGGGGGCAGCACTGGGATTAGAAAAACTGCATTTGGTTGTAGTTCTGTCAGCTGTAGCTGAAGTTATCTCCTCAGTTATTCAATGTTTTAAAATACTGATTTGTTTGAAAGGCAAAATGTTAGACTTCTCCTACCCACTGTTTCATTGCCCAAAATGCTATGCCAGCCAGGTCTGGACCAAGCCTGTCAGAAGCTGCAAATTCTATCCTGGTCTCCCCACAGGAGCGGCAGGGGCTCGACTAACAAGCAATCCTCTGCTGCCTTCCTAAGACACGCTAGCAGGGAGCTGGATTGAAGTAGCCAGTACTCAGATCAGTCATCCAGAATGCCATACTAGCACTGCAAGCTATGGTTTAACTCACTGTGCCTCCATGCCAGCTCCTTCTCAGTTCAATACTGTGTACAGGTGATTCCCCCATTTATAATTTTTGAGTGAAACATATTCTCAAAGATCACTAGTAACTTCATAGTTACATACTCTCCAACCTAGTTTTTTCATGAAAATAATAAACGGAGGTTATGGCTCAGATTACTGAAGTGGTCAATTCAGCTGCTTTTTAACAAATTCTTATAGGTGTCCCTCCCTCCTTTGAGAGGCGCCCCACCTCCTGGCTCTCTCTCAGGAGCTGCTTTCCCCTTCTGCCTCCCTTCTCTGCTCATCTGATCCCTTTGCAAATAAACTTTTCTGTGTGCAACAGGCTTTTTATTTCTACAATAAGCTGACGAAAGAACCCACAGGGCTTTTCTAGTAACATATTTTCCCTGGTGTCCAACGTCCAACATGGGGCGTGAAAAAGAGACTTAGACCTGGAGCCACTTGGCCTGACTCAACTGAGAGAAGACTTCACAAGATCCATACGCCTTCCCTCAAGAGAGACTGCACCTGTGGAAGCGACCCTTGGCTCTGCAGGAACACTGAGCCCCCAGGCCACAGCCTTGCTACAGTTACCCTCCAGAGGGACTGTATTATTAGGGCAGTGGTGTTAGGAAAGGCGGCTGTTTAGGCCCTGATCCCTAACCACCTGCTTGGCTCTGTTTACATTCCCATTGTGATTCTTATCTGCCTTCATTTGAGAGTGGGGGAATTCCCAAATCACCCAGGGGGATGATTAAGAAATTTGCCTTCCCAGTTTGTTCTGAGGCAAGCCTGTGGCTCCCACAATTTGATCCCATAGATGCCTCGCTCATTTTGAGCTAGATTAAGATCACACACAAATTTGTAGGCTTTTATTTTAATCAGGCTGAGAGGACAATCCAAGCAGTAGCCATCATCTTCCTTAGCTCCAGGGGCTACTTCGATTTCTCAGGGAAAAAGCTCACAGTGAAGAAAGGGTTGCCAAGGGTTCTGGAGCTTCCACAGGGGACAAGACAAGGGGCAGGGGCAGGTGGGGTGAGGCTTTTCAAATAAATTAAAATAAATCTTTAAATCAGTACCTGAAATATATTTGTTGATGTTTTGAAAAACTGATTTTCTCTCCTCTGAGAGTATGGCTTCCTTGAATTCAGAAACTTCATCTGTGCGTGCATTCCTTGTTAGAACATTATCTGACACATTAACTTTTTATTGAATGACAGAATGAGTTAGTGGGCACAACTTATGAACCGTAATATACTTTTATGAATACTAGCATGGAACTTCAAATATTTTTATAACCACAGGAGAACACTTCATTAATTGTTAAAGTAGTCTCAAAACTAACTTATGCAATAGTGTTAAGGTTTGTACAGAATGGAGTTCTAGGTGAGTTTAGGGAGGCATGCATTTGGCCTGCAGTGGAGACTCTGGTATCATACATCTGAGTGCACAGGTGTAATTCCTGGCTCAGCTCCTGGCTCCAGTTTCCTGCCAGTGTGCCTAGGGGGCAGTGGTGATGGGCCGGGGAACTGAGCTCATGCTTCTGCTGTGAGTGACTCAGTCAGCACTGCTGGCTCCCGGCATCAGCCACTCCCCAACACTGGCTATTTGGGAGCGTTTTGGTAGTGAAATGATGAATGGGACATCCCTTATTGTCTCTAGAAAATTTTGGAAAAAAAAAAAAACACAACATATGGTGGTACAAAAATTTTCTAAATTCATAGTTTTTTCATGCGTTTTCCAGTGGGCTTTTGGGAATATGCTGCTATATAAAAGTACAAAGAGTCTTAAGAATACATACAAATTTATGATTCACAGGACTTTAAAAGCCACCATAGCCCCACCTCCTCATTTACAATTTTCTTCTAGCTTATAGGTCAAAAATAGAGAGGCTTTTTTTTCTTCCTCATGTTGGATTCCTAGATAGAAAAAGAAAAAAGAATCACGTCACATATTTGAAACTACTTCTCTTTCTGCAGACACCAGTCACCTTACTGGATCTCATCAGTAGGAAACTTAAGAAGCTTCGGCATGGAGAAGATCCTGATGCAATCTCAGGTATGGATTCGGAGTTGCTCCTTCCAATCCCTGACTGCTGTGGCCAGGAGAGGTGAAAAGATACCGGAAGCGAATGTGTAATACATATAGGACATCATTAACTATGGTAGCGTTTAGGTTATTTTTTAATATCCCCAGGGCAAATTCTTCTGTTCTTGGAAGCACGTCGTTGGCTTCCCTTGGGACAATGAAGCTACACACCATGTTTCTCATTGCTGCTGCCAGTCCTCGCCACCCCTTCCAACCAATCCCCTATTACTTCCTGCTTTATTCTCTGTTATCTTCTTGTTTTCCATTCTCTTGGCTCTGCCACCTTCTATTGTAGAAGGATCACATTTTATAAAGAAGGAAATGGAATCCCCAGTTGTTAGGCTCCAGGGTCCTTATCTGGTGGCAGCGGATCTGATTTCATAATTTAGAATTTTTTTAAGACTATAAAGTATCTTTAATGCAAATCCTCTGGAGTTGTCACATTGGAGACTAAGTAGCATCAAAGCTGTAACTCTGAATGCTAAGGCCAAAATGCCTGGTAAATCAGTGAGCTCTTTGCTGTCTCAGTTTCCTCATCCACAAAGCAAGAGTGATACCATTTACTTCACAGTGCAGTTATTAAGTAGTTGATATATCAATACATTAAATGTTATATTGATAGGTAACATTGACTATAATAAACATACTTGAGTTATTATTTTAACTGACACTAATACTGAGCCCTATTGAATGTCAGACCCTATGCTGAACACTAAAGTAGATTTATTATTTGTTCTTCACAATAATCTGTGCAAGTCAATTATGATCCCACTTATGCCATTATTATCAGCTAAGTGGAGCTTAGAGAGGTTGTATGTCACGGCCAGCTGGAAAAGAAAGGTTAACAGGGGAGGTGCTGAGCCTGGCAGGTAAGATGCTGGGTGCATAGATTTGATCCCCAGTTCCAGTTGCTCCCTGCAGCGTCCTGCTGATGCAGACCCTAGAAGAGAGTTGAGTTGAACGCTGTTGCTAGTAATGGAAACCCCCGGCCCTGAGACAGGACAGCCCTGGATATGGATCCTTCCTTGACCTCTTGCCAGCCACATGTCCCAAGCTTTGGTTTCTTCATCAATAAGGAATCACTGATAATAATACCTGCACATCCATAGCTTAGAATACAGAAGAGTTAAAGAGAAAAGTTACCAGAAACTTAGGACACGACAAGCACTCACTGTAAGCTGTTGTAAGGTATTGATTCTGAATAAATATGGGCATTTAAACTTTTGGAGGCAGTTTAATGCCAAGGCATCACCACAGGTGTATTTAATTGAAGCCTGTTATAGTGAAGATAGAGTAAAACAAAACCTCTGACATTTATGGGCTTCGGAAATTCAAATGTTGACTCTAAGAATTGTTTTCATGTATATGGATGCTGAGGTGTCAGTGAAGGTACCCTCACCCACAGATGGGTCGGGAAGCACTACAGGCCAGGATGGTTCAGAGAGCAGCAGGCAGCCCAGAGCCAGCATTCCCCAATTCTTTGTTTCTGTTTTGATCATGCCTCTAATCTATTTAGCCATGCTAACTAAATTCTTTGTGTATTCCTCTTGAACTGGGAGTGTAGTTTCTTGCTTCTGCTCCTTGTTGGAATTACTTTGGAGACTATATATGTATGATGTATGTGAGGCTATTACTTTGGAGCAAAGAAAATATAAGTCACATTATTTACATGTTGGAAAAATTATAGTTCAGCTTAAGGCAAGTGCATATAAGTAGCTGTTAGTGTTGTAGTTATTTTTTTAACTTGCTTTTCTAATTCTTATGTATGTTTTTTTCTTTAGACTTTACATTTTGCCAACCCATGACACGCAAGGAGTTTGAAAATCAAAAGGGAAGGACAATTCAATATCTTCATCAATTGGCCCTTGAGATTAACAGTAACCCTAACATCTCTCTGAAACAAAAAAAGAAACTGATTAAGGAATTTCAAAAACACCACCCAGAAGCTTTGAATTGATACTTTTTGGGACAAGAAACTACCATTTGGGAATATGTGCCAATCTGGTAGTTTTTCAAACATCCATACTTAAGACTGCAAAGAAAAGATGGCTTCCAGGCATTTTAACTATAATCATGTCTAAAATATGTTAAGGAGGTTTTAAAAAGGAATCAACTCAGTCTTCATGTACGCTTGATTCACTTGATCATTATGCTACTGAAATCACTTATTAGTGCCTAATATTAATTTCCTTCAAAGTTTTCCCCATAGGAAAGGCATATGAGCTCTCTGAAGAAAGTGCACACTTCCTTAATATAATAGAATTTTCAAGTTATTCCCTTAAACAGCTGTAATTTGTTTTATTACTTATTTTGTTATTATTATTTTATGATACAGTTCCATAGGCTCCTGGGATTTCTCTTACCCCCTCCCCAAATTCCCACTGAATTCCCCTATATTATTACTACAGTATAATTCTTCATACACAGTCATATGTCCATCACGGCAGGCATGGACAATGGCAGAGTCCAGCATCCTAGTGTCAAGATATAGTAAACAGTTTCATTGGGAGTCCATCTTTAGTCTGGAAGTAGAGATGCATACTGCATTGTATCCTCACATCTGGATATGACAGTCTCCTTCACAGTCACACTATACATCCCCTTAAATGAAAGGCCACAGTACAAAATCAACCGCAGGAAGAAAAAAGAAATTAAAATCTCCATGAAGTTAAATAACATGCTACTGAATGACTACTGTGTCACTGAAGAAATGAAAATCAAGAATTTTCTTGAAGAAAATGCTGCTGCTATATGATGTATGAGTCAGTAAAGAATGAATGAATTAAATTTCCAAGAGTATGTATTACCTTTCAACTTGAAACCACATATTTTGGAGAGTTATTATATGCAAAGCACTCTTTCTCTGTGTAAATAAACAAAATCAAGTACAATGCCTTCATCAATTGGCCCTTAGCATCCTTTAAGAAATTTTAGTAAGCTGTCATGAGAATTAAGACATTTTATGATGTATGAGATTTGTGTGATATGTATGATGTGCGCTGTGAACATTTCAGTTAGTCACAGTCTCAGTCATGACAAAGTCTTTCTCCTAGGCCCATCTGTGCATTTCCATATAAAATCTCATTTTAGGCCAGAACCCCCACCCTCGGGACCTGAGCACGCTCCACCTCGGTTCAAGTTCCGCCTCCTCCGCCACTGCCCAGGTGATGTCTGACCACCTGGGCTTGTTTTCAGCAAGAATCCTGTTAGGTCAATGTAGTCAGAATCATCTTAACTCGCCCTTCAGGTTTTCTCTTGATAATTTTCCATCCTCTGTCCCCATGCTGCTATCGCAGAATACCCAAAACCCATAGAATACCAAAAAGCAACCACTGAGATTTGTTTCTTGCAGTTCAAAAGACTAGGCAGGCCAAGGTCAAGGTGCCCACATTTGGCAAAGCTGTTTTTGCTTCATCTGATAGCAGAGGATAGATGAGCAAAAGTGCAAGAGGTGGGGGAGGGGCCAAGTTATTCTATCAGGAATTCTTTCTTGAGAGGCATAATTCACCTCCAAAGGAGAAGACTGTTTCTAAAACAATATATATTTATCTGAAAACAGAGAGTGGAAGAGATTTCCTATCTGCTGGTTCATTCCCCAAATGGCCACAGCAGCCAGGGCTGGGCCAGGTCAAAGCCAGGAGCCAGGAGGTTAGGTGCAGGGACCTAAGCACTTTGGCGCTCCGCCCCTACTTTCCCAGGCACTTTCGCAGGGAGCCAGCTTGAAGCAGAACAGTTGGACTTGAACCAGCACCCATATGAGATGCTACCACTGCAGGCAGTGACTTAACTTACCGTACCACAGTACTGATACTAAGGATTAAGTTTCTAGCACGCTGGGGGAGTATATCCAAACCATCACAGACCCCCCATCTCACATCCTGCTGATAATCCCCACTTGCTCAGGCTGTGCCTGCAGTTGAGCGCACTGCTGTCTACTGGGGGCAGATGAAAGACAGATCTTCCATCCACTGATTTGCTAGCCAAAAGGTCACAACAGCCAAGGCTGGGCCAGGCTGTAGCAAGGATCTCCTGCATGTGCAGAAGGAATTCAAGCACGTGAGCCGTCACCTGCTGCTTCCCGGGTAATCAGATGGAATCTGGACTGGAAGTAGAGTAGCCCTGACATGGAATGTGGGCACCAACACTGCCTACAGAGGAATTTTGAGGACATTCTCAGAACCAGAGCTGTGAGGCAGGAAGGGACTGATCGATAAGAATATACATTCACATTTTCAATATATTTTAATATATATTCAACTATTATAAATGAAATTACCAGTTACATAGTCTTTGTTCTAAAATATTAGTCCTCAATTTAAAATAATTTCTAGAAACTGACAATCATGATTGTTATTTTGAAAGTAAAGCATAATGGCAGTGGGGAGAGACCGAGAGAGGTATAGAGGTATCCTGTCTACTGGTTCACTCTCCAAATGTCCCCAGGCCCCAGGGGTGGGCCCGGCTTCCTGAGTCAGGAGCCTGGAACGCAATGCAGGTCTCCTGTGTAGGTGACAGGTTCCCAAGCATCTGAGCATACATGACAAACAGAAAGACCTGGGCTGGAGGGTAGTATGTTCAGGATAAGCTTCTGCCAGCAGGGCCAGCAACCCATATGGGTGCCAATTTGAGTCCGGTTGCTCCGCTTTGGCTCCAGCTACCTGCTTAGGATCTGGGACAGCAGCAGAGGATGGCCCAAAGCCTTGGGGCCCTGTACATGCAGACGGCTAGGATCTGACTCATGAGCACAAAACAATTTTAAATACGGGAGCTGATTTGAGGGCAAGGCTCTAGAAGATTCCTGCAATTTCCCTGGTTTTTGTCCTTCCTAAGGCTGTTGGTTTAGCTTTTCTCCAGCCCTGCTGATGTCTTTTATGCTACAGAAGACAGCTGGATGAGTTCCCACTGCGCTTAGTCACTATCGGGTGCGTGTTTCCTTACATCACAAAGCTGTTCTTTAACACCTTAAAAATCTGTTTACTGTGGATCAAACGAAAGTTTTAAAAACAAACACGATTATATTGAGTTTTGAACAACTGATTTACTTCAAAAGTATATTTATTGTGCAAAGTGTAGTGTGCTTTATGAGAGAAATGATACATTTCTGCCAACACAGTAGTTAGTGGCCACAAAGTTCCCATCTGATCCAACTCCCTGCTAAGGTGGGAAAAGCAGGAGAGACAGGGCTTACGGCTTACGCTGCGCCCAGGCACCTACACAGAAGACCGGAGAGACGGCTTACGCGTCTGCGCCCAGGCACCTACACGGAAGACCCCAGCAGAGCCGTCAGGCGTGTGGGTCTGGCTTGGCCCAGTCACTGCAGGCAGGAATCCCCCTCCCTGCTCGCTCTGTCTCCCTTTCCCTGTCTCACTCTTTCAAATAAATATATCATAAAAAGAGAAGAAAAGATCTCTACTAAATTGGCTTTGGTTGCTACCTTTTCATTCTAAATAAGAAATAAACATCATACATGTCAGTATTTCCAACTTTATTATGTATAAATAAAAATGGCTTATTTTTAAATAAAATACTAGGTCTAAAAGAGAAATCATATCAGCCTATTAACACTTTCGCCAATTTCCAAAGTAATGCAAAGCTACCTTCTAAGATAATGGAACAGTGTGTGTGCTTCCGGTGGTGAAGAGTAAAGCTGACCACAGATCCGCTCTTTCGTCTCCTAAGCAAACCCGACATCACCTCACAAGGTCCCACATGACGTCATGGGCGAGGTGACACAGAGCTTCCTCTAATCTGCTTAAAAAGCCTGTGAAAAGTTACCACCGATCAAGGGAGTTAGTTAAGACTGTATCTTTGGATGAAAGGTAACAGGTGCTTCACCTTTAAAATAAACATTGACACTAAACCTTTCAGTCACAACTAGTTACAATTTTCTTTCAGAAATGTTTCTTAAATATCAAATTTCTCTTCACAGATACTATGTCCATTTTCTTCATAATCTTCTCGTGTTACCACCATATCTTCAAAATCATCGTTCTCTGATATCAATTTTCCACCTTCCCAGGCATAGGTAATAGGACTGCAAATAAACACAGCATAAGTGAAACCAGATGATTTTACAAGAAACGATTTATATAAATGAACAAGATGCCTGAAACATTAAAAATGAAAATATGGCAACCAAATTCAGGGAAATCATTTAAACTCTAAACAATTTAACAGAAAATGACTTAAGGTAGACAACTTCCACATGAGCACAGAAAATTCAAAAAGAAAGGACATCTTGGTCACGATCACATCATCACAGATTCTCTAAGCGGAAGAGCGTATCATAACCGGCCCCGCTGCTGCTTACAGCAGAAAAGCATCATCTTCACTCCAACACCAGCCCAGGAAACAGCCTATGGTGCCCATTGTAGAAACTTGGAAAATGAGTACAGATTACAACTGACCAAGTTTGGACCTAGGGTTTATCCTAGACTTACTTTGCACCCTGTGCTTTTGTGGCTCCACTTTGTTGTCTCTAATAAGTGAAACACTTGCAAAATATAGTGAGACAGAAAGAACAGAAAAAATGAGAGCAGATAAAGCGTGTGGTTTGGCTTCGCTCTTTGCAACTGACATTATACTGTGTTTGCACTCAATTCTATTTCTACTTTTCTTTCCCCCCAATTCACAGCTTCAAAATTGAAAAAGGTGCAGAAAAAAAGTCAATCCACAAGTATCCCTTATTGTGTGCACTGCGTTTTCTCATTTTTTATAAAAAAAGTCACTTACTTATATGAGGGGATTTTAAAAAGTTAATGAAAAAGAACCAGAAGCTATATGCATTTTTTAATGAACTTTATGAAGATTTGTCACAATTCAATATATCTTGAAAATACATAACTAGTTGTACAATAAAGACTGAATAAAGTCTATTCCTGTGGTCCTCTGGCTATAATGTGTGCTTGCAGGATAGAAATGCAATACGCTTCTCACTCTAAGAGTGTGTGCTACCATTGTGGGCAGCAGCCTAAGCCACCGACTGCCGTCCCGGCATCCCGCAGGTGTGCTGGCTCACGTCCTGGCTGTTTCACTTCTGATCCAACCCCCTGCTAATGTACCTATGAAAGAAGCAGAAGAAGGCCCAAGTACCCAGGCTCCTGCTACAACCTGACAGACCTTAATTAGAGTTCCAGAATCTTGACATCAGCTCACCTCAGCCCAGCTCCAGCCACTGCAGGCACTTTGGGAATGAACCAATGGATGAAAGGCCCCTCTCTAAGGCTCCTTCTCTCTGTAAGCCTGCACAGTAACCTAGTGGCTAAAATCCTTGCTTTGCCCGTGCCGGGATCTCACATGGGCGCCGGTTCTAATCCCAGCAGCCAAGCTTCCCATCCAGCTCCCTGCTTGTGGCCTGGGAAAGCAGTTGAGGACAGCCCAAGCCTTGGGACCCATATGAGAGATCCAGAAGAGGCTCCGGGCTCCTGGCTTTGGATCAACACAGCTCCAGCCACTGAGGACATTCGGAGAGTGAATCTAATGGACAGAAGATCTTCCTCTGTCTCTCCTCCTCTCTATAAATCTGACTTTCCAATAAAAATAAACAAATTTTTTTAAAAATAGAGTATAGGAACATTAACACTGATAGGATATTTAATAACTGCTTATTCTGATAGAATCTGACACATTGATTTGGGAAAATTTTCCTTTAGCTTTAAACAAAACTCTAAAATTAATTCTGGTTGGTCAAATATGTAAGGTGTTACTTGCAAATTTTACCTCTACGCTAGGGAGGGGCCCCTCGGACATCTATGTGGGTAAGCACTCCCGAATAAAGTCAGAGAACTGAGTTCTCATTGGGTCACTGCTGGTAACTCAACACCAAGGCGCCTGGCAGCTCATGAGTCCATGTTTCTTTATAAAGAAACAAGGATCGACTAGGGTGATGAGCCCTTCTTCCTTATTTTTAATGCTGAAGTAAAAACGATGCTCTTTTCCCTCATAAACAGGGTAGGTGGTAAATGATAAAATGCTTTAAATATTAACTTTATGCCAAGTATATAACTTTACCTAAAATAGATCATTTTTTAAAAATTCCATAACGACTTATGAATTAAATGTTTGTTGTTGTTGTTCTATTCTGGAGACACAGAAAGACAGAGACGAGCAAAGACACCTCTCATGTGCTAAGTCCACATCCAAATGTGTGTGATGGCTGGCCCTGGGCTGGGCTGGAGCCAGGACCTGGAACTCAAGCCGGCCTCCACCACAAGCGGCAGGAAGCCAGTTCTCGAAGCCAGCACTCCCGCTGCCCAGGATGTGTACGGCCGGAAGCTGGAGCCAGGAAACACGCAGGAACTCCACTGTACAACTACATCCAAACCACGAGCACCTCCTACACTCACTTAACTCACGACTCAGTTCTCATCACAGATAAACAGGTGCCTCCCTTATTTTCTCGTCTATGAAAGTCTCGGGAACAAAGGACTGCTTCACTATACAGAAGTGATGTCAGGTTAGCCGAGTTCTCATTAGGAAGCAAATGGCTGAGCTGGTACTTCATCCTTCATCCCTGACGCTATTTAACTCATGAGACGTAAGATCTATAATTCCAAAGAGAGGAAGAAATGAGGATCCAACAGGTGAAGTCCAGCTGGCAGCACGCAGAACCAGGCTTTGGGCCAGGCCCGTGAGGTGCATCACTTAGTGACGAGTCAACTTTATATTCTGATCCTGTATCATCGAATACTTACTTTTCAGGAAGCACAACAGAAACATCATAATCTGTTGGAGTGAGACATCGAACTTCTGAGTAAACCCGATCCCTAAATCCAGGGAAAAGGGGATTTCCTCCCGTCAAAACAATATTCTTAAAAAAGTGCGGCTGCATTTCTTTAAAACAAACAAAGGGGGGGGGGGGGATGAAAAACCATTAGAAAAGCATTCACTTATCTTTCTGGAAAGATTTAGATGAGGGAGTAGGTAAAAGCAACTAGTAATTGCAGCTACCGGTTGTGACGCCGTGTCACCTGAGGTCCATCTTAGATCTGTAATAAATTTAGTTTATTCAGAGATCTTCCATAGTGAAATATGACCCCGGCCACCTTCAGAAGGCAAGGCTGAGGTTTTGACCACTGGCGCCATACTATGAACACGCAAGCTGGCGCATTGGAGGTTCCTGTGAGCCCACATTTAGGGAATCACACTGTCACACCACCTCCAGTGGAGCCTGCGTGAGAAATCACCAGGCCGAGGCGGAAGCTTCAAGGAAGGATGCCTCCTGGATTCGGCTGCATTCCTAGTGGTCTTGGCATTCCTGGCTGTACTCTCTTTGCTCTTATCTTTGTGGCTGGAATAATACTATTTATGCACAGCAAAGACTCAATATTCCTTTATAGTTCTATGAAGCCTTCTGACAGGAGACGACAAGGATTGCAAGCAGTATGGGATAAAAACTGTCAGGTCACTAACTTTAATAAACCTACCTAGGACTATTTTTGAGAATTCCTAAAAAGAAGATTATAGTAGAAATCTATAGCTTCAAAAGCCACACAGGAAGAAAAACTAAGAAAAACAGACAGGTTAATATTAAAACCAATGTAAGGAACAAGGCACAATGAGAGCTAACCGCTTAATGATTACAACTGCAGCTGGTGCCAAACCGCGTCCGCAAGAAACAGCAACCGCAGTCTGTCACCAGGCTGTTAGAGAACAATCTTCTCAACAGCCCCGCTTGCCTCCCTGGAATAACTGTTTGTAGAAATGTAACCACATGAATAAACAAAGAAAATGTCCCTTTGCAATAATCTATTGTATATAAGTTGATGCCTTGCTTTTGCAAAATGCACTCCGATACAACTGCCTTGAGTTGTCCTGTCTGTCTGTCACTCGCTGAATCCTTGCCCACCGTTCCCGGGGTCCTGTTCCCGTCAGACTGATTGCTCCTGGCCGAGCCGGTCCATTGCATCACACTAAGCCAGATATTGATTGTGCAACACCTACCTGTGGCAGTGAAAAGCACTCACAATCTGGAACACTTTTAAAAAGGATGTTAAGTATGATCAGCTTGCAGGATGTTAGCCAGCCTTAAACCTACAAAGCACTACTGGGGAACACACCAGGAACTGGTGAGTGCTGGCCATCCCGCTGAATGCTACTGCTTACGAATGTAAAGACTGGCCCTTGAGTTGAGGCTCATGCTATGACATTAAAGCAGGCTAGTATGAAATGTTGTAAACATCATTAACTGCAACTTTATATCAAATGTGAAATTATGATAAAAATACTCATGAAATCATTGTTACAATGCTAGCATTATTTGCTTTTTTTTAAATGAGAGGAAAGCATATTGCATGTGCTAAATTTTCCCCATTATCTATATAACCTATAAACTGAGAAGATAACAATAAAACATTATTTACTGGGCCTGACATGGTAGCCTAATGGCTGAAGTCCTCAACTTGCACACACTGTGATCCCCATATGAGTGCCAGTTCTAATCCCGGCAGCTCCACTTCCCATCCAGCTCCCTGCTTGTGGCCTGGGAAAGCAGCGGAGGATGGGCCAAGGCTGGCTTTGGGACTCTGCACCCGCATGGGAGACATGGAAGAAGCTCCTGGCTCCTGGCTTTGGATCGGCCAACTACGGCCACTTTGGGAGTGAAGCAGCGGATGGAAAATCTTTCTGTATATCTGCCTTTCCAGTAAAAATAACTAAATCTTAACAAAAAAAAAAAAAAAAAAGAAAAAGAAAAAGAAAGAAAGAAAGAAAGGGAGGAAGGAAGGAGGGAAGGAAGGAAGAAAGGGAAGGAGGGAGGGAGCGAGCAAAAGCCACTTAACAAAAACAGAAACAGAAACAAAAAACATTACTTAGTTGCCATGTGTCAGAACTCACTATGAAGCACCACACTAACTTCTCAAAAGTTACCCTGCAGGTGCCTCCAGTGCTAAAGGGCAGAATCAGGCAGTCTACCTCAATAGCCGGACATGATTTCAGTGTTAAGTTACGATCTGTTCTGTACAGATCGGTGTTTGAAAAAAGTTTTCTAAAACGTGACAATTTGATCTCTCATGCAGCAATATATTTTTTCAAATTTAAACAAACCGTAATAACTGTTCCTGTATCAAGTTTATAATTTAGGACAAATCAAACAATTCTTGTGGGATGTGGAAATCTCCACAAATGAGACCCGCTATTAGCCTAAACTAATTAAACAGAGTTCACAGAACTTGGGATTTTTCGGAAACACCCCTACTGGTTAATACGTTACTGTGTTAGTTCCGTACCTTCAGGTAAGTTCTGAATCGAATAGACAATAGCTTCGGGAATTCCCATTTCTTGAATGCCTATATCAGAAGGATTAAAAAGAATTTCTGGAACAGCAAATCTCTCGTTGGCCAAACGAAGAATCTGTTCCCCTGATTTATATTTTCCACTCAATACCATCTCTTCCCTAGGCTAAAAGAAAAGACAAAATTTAGGGCACATTACCAAGACACGTAACTTACGTAGTAATATGTAATAACCTATTAATCATGTTCTCAGAAGTTTCAGGATTCTCAAAAAACAGTAGAATGTGACCTTGTCTACTATTGCTAACTTGAAACAAATAATTACGGACTTGTATTGGCTATTTTCCAAAAACTAATCTGGCAGCTTCTTTCTACACATTTTAAAATAGAAAGAAGGAAACTGCCTATCATGATATACAGATCTAAGTTTGTAAAGGACGCACTCTAAGAATATCTGTCATGTGTTTTAATCCTACGACTGTCTCCCTTTGCCCCCCACCTTTAAATGTTTACTCGACACCCGGATTCTATTCTAGTTGGATTCTATTCTAGTTGGAAATCTTTTTCCCTGTACAAAAAAGCTACAACTTTACATTTTGTTACTACGTGTTGATTCAAAAATCAGTGTCTAAGTGAACTAACCAGATACGCAGTCTTTATCCTTGAAATTAACTTATGATGTTTATGGAGTTCTGATTGTTCACCCACTTGACTTATGGATTTTGCCCTTTTCAACTACAACCTGACCCTGTTAGACCAAACCTAAGTAAATTCCAACCTTGGATCAGCCTTGTCAACAATTTTCATAAGAAAATCGTCAATTTCTAAGTGGTTCTTAAATAAAAAGACAAAAGAATTGCTAGCTATAATACAAGTAATGAGACTATCTCCAGGGTTATCCCATGTCCTACAATTAGGTTGGAAGACCTTTTCCTGCATGCACTTTATGAGGAATTCATTATCACAGTTACACCCTGTGCCTGAGCAAGGGCTGCCAGGGAAGACAGTCAGCAACAGCTCCCTAACAGACCTGCCAGTCCTCCTCCCTGGAAGGGAGGTGCTCTTCAAACTGGCTGAGGGGTTCACTAGAACAAATACCGAGGGTCTCAGAATTTACCTTACAAAAGCCCTTTTTAATTGTACTGAAATCAGGCAACACATAGTCTATCATTACTGTATTTTCTTCTCCTTTCAACCTAGAAAACAAAACAGAGATTTATAAAATGTTCCAATAATGTGTAATGCCATGCAAGAACCAACATTCCAAGCCTTAGGTGATCCTTACACTTACTTTGCAATGTCCATATCTTTGTAAAAATCCTGAGAGACATAGCACACGTCTTCTTTCACTTGATTAATTACATGCGTTTCATCCATAACATGAAGCTGCCTGATAAAAAGTTAAAAAGATAAAACTGAAAAAATTTAAACATAACGTATATTAGTCATTTAAAACATTTTCTCTGGAATTAAATTTTCAAGCAACTGACCCTTCAGTATCTTCAGCTCTTGAGTGCATAAAATACTTTTAACCTGATGAAATGCTCTATCTCTAAGCTGTACATTATTTCTCTGAGAACAGGCTGTTGGTCCAGTTTTTGGACAAGGAAACTGAAAACCAACCACCCAACTTCTCCCCCCACCCCATCCACCCTTAGTAGAATCTTGCTACAAGGCCTTACTTGGTATTTCTTTCCTGATTATAGAAGCATTGTGAACCAACATACAGTACCGAGACATAGAAAATATTGAATAAATATTTGATGAGCGATTTCAAGAAAGCAAAGGCTTACTTTCAAAAGCCAAAAAAAGAAGTAAGTGAGCTTATTTCCTTCAAATGTATTTCTGCTTAAGATTTATTTATGTCCAAGGCAAGGCTATAGAACGAGAGATAATTCTCAAATTGCCACGGCAGCAAGGTCTGGGCCAGGTAGAAGCCAGGAGCCTGGTGCTCCGTCAGGGCCCACCCAGGGGGTATGGGGGGCCAAGCACTTGTGTCATCTTTCACTGCTTTCCCAGGCACATTAGCAGGGAGCTGGATCAGAAGTGAAGTAGCTAGGACTCAAACCACACTATGAGAAGCCAGCACTGCAGCTGGCAGATTAACCCACTGCAGCACCAGTCCCTCAGATAGCTGACTGTACATTTTACTATATAACACATGTTTACTTTTTATATTTTCAACTATATATAGGATTGTAAAAGGTTTAATCCTCATAATGTGTGTCTTATGCATAGCTCAGTCAGTCCCTGCACTCAACAAATGAAAAAAAAAACTTCTACTTGCTTGTAGGCTTCCCCTTTCAACCTTTTAAACAATAAAAGTGTCGTGGTTCACCTTCTCTCCAATGTCCCACTGGACTCATCACAAGAAACTGCTCAGTAACTTGTAACAATTCTAAGGTATTAAGCAACACTGCAAAATTCATAATTTCAGGGAGTGAAAAATGAAAAAAGTACAACTCAGAATTAATGAAGTACATTTTATCTGTATCTCTTACTATCTCATTACTTATTCAGGCCTCCGGAGACAGAGTATCAAGTAACTTTAGTTTCTTGGCTTATTGTTAAATTGTTCATCAGAACGGATACTTGGATACTTGGAGTTAGGTTCTGATCAGCAGTCAACAAGGTTGTCCATGTGACAAATGTGCAACATCCTCATTTGAAAATCATTAATTTGGACTGAAATGATACCATTTTTAAAAAAAATGTATTCATTTATTTATTTAACAGCGGGGAGGAGGGGGGGAGGGAGCAACAGGAGCTCCCACCGGTTTCTTCACTCCCCGAATGCCTGCAACGTTAAAAGGTAGGACAGGGCTGAAGCCAGGAGCCAGGATCACAACCTATGTCTCCCTCACGAGTACCAGGGACCCAATTACCGGGACCATCAGTGCTCAAGGGTCTAAATTAACAGGAAACAAAACAAACACACAAAACAAACAAAAGCAAAATAAATGACTTTATGTTCAGAGTAGATGTTGTGGCATGGTGGGTTAAGCCACTGTTTTGGATGCCCACAACCCTGGCTGCTCAGCTTCTCATCAAGTTCCCGTGCCTGGAAAGGCAAAGGATGACACCCAAACACTTGGTCCCTGCCCCTCATGTGTGAGATGTGGGTGGAGTTCCTGGTGGATAAAAGATCTCTGTTTCTCTCCCCCTTTCTGTTATGCTGCCTTTCAAATAATTTTTTTTTCCTAAAAAAGTTTGATTCAAGACTAACTATTCAGTCTCTCTCTCTTTCAAATCCATTGAAGCGTGTTGTGTGTGTGCAGTATTTCAGCTGTAAAAGCAGAATCCCAGGCACGCCTGCCCGTGCCTTTCCAGCTTACTTCTTCACCATCCGTTTCGGAGGCTGAGTCTGGAAGCAAACGTCCAGGATGACAGGAAGCCATTCTGTTTCTGGATCTCTGAGCTGCCCAGCCGATCTCGTTTGGTCTGCCTCTTCAGTGACTTATTTCAGCTCTGTGGTCCTCGATGTGTTCAAACGGGCCAGGATAACCCTTCTTGGCCTCCTTGCCAAGAGCAGATGAGCACCGCCCAGTGAGAGCCCAGCACTGACTCTCCTCCGGGAGCTGCTGATGCCCAGTGAACACCAGCCAGGACACTGGGGATGGCAGAGCAAACAGGAACAGATGGTACACGGGGTCCCTCGGTGGGGATGGTGCAGTTCTGTATCCTGCTTGTGGTGGTGGTAAGAATTCATACACGGTGAGCCAGTGCTGTGGAGCAGCAGCTTAAGCCATCGCCTCCGACACCACCACCCCATATGGGCAACGATTTGATTCCCAGCTGCTCCACTTGGGACTCAGCTCCCTGCTAACACTCTCGGGAACGCAATGATGGCCAAAGGGCTTGGGCCCTGCATCCTTGTGGGAGACCTGAAAGGAGTGCCATTACGGCCATCTGGAGAATAAACCAGATGTGGAATCGCTCCCTCCCTCTGCAACTCCACCTTTCAAATAAATCCATATTTTTAAAAAACCCAAAACTACTTATACATGGCATAAAAGTGCACTGAACTATGTGTATACTCACAAAAATGACAGCATGTAAAAATGGTGAAAACGGAATACAATATGTAGTTAACAGTAGTATATCAATGTCCATTTCATCATTTTGATATTGTAATACAGGTAAATATAATGTCACTAAAGGCACAAAAGATTTTGAAGTATTCTTAAAGGTTCCTAAGTCCAATATTATTCCAAAATAAAACTTAAAAAAATATTAAAGCTAGCAAGGATGAGATCTAAGGGCGATGACTAAGGGCTTTCTTAATGAAAATGTTCTAAAACTGATTGTTTTAATATACATATGTACCAAAAGCCACTGTAATACAGCATGTGAATTCTATCTCAATAACACTGTTCTTTAGAAAGCAGTGCTATGACAGACAGAAGAGGAAGGAGGGGCAGACACGCAGCGCACTGGTTAAGACACTGCACAAGGTGCCCGAATCTCGGCTTCCAACTCCAGCTTCATGCTAACGCACACCCAGGAGCAGGCTGGCCATGGCTCAAGTCCCGGGTCCCTGCCACACCTGTGGAAGACCCGACTTGAATTCTGGGTTCCTGGCTTCACCCTGGCCCTGGCTCCATGTGTTAATGTCTGGGGTGTAAACTAGTGGGTCAAAAATCTCTCTGCCTCATAGTAAAAAATTATAAGAAAGAAAGAAGGAAAGAAGGAGAGAAAGCAATGTAGATTCACTTTCTCATAAACAGTACAGGAGAGTTTTCAAAGGAATACTGACGCTAACACATCATTCCAAGCTAATACATTTGAAACTGAGATGTAAGAATTCTGTTTTTAAAACACAATAAAAATTAAAATAGTAAAATTAACATTAAGGATGCAAGGGAGTTGAGAAATGGCTGAGTGCACTAAATTCCTCATCTTTTAATGGTAGCCTACTAACACTGATTAATACAGAAACATGCCCGTCTTTAGAGCTTACGGAGGCTGAACATCTTCAAGCAGATGCAAGCCTGGTCCTCTGTGCGGAGTGCGTGGGACGTGGAGATGGGGATAAGGATCTTGGATCTCGTGGCTCAGACCCTTGTTCTCTATATACATCTTGTTAATTTACCAAGTCCATGCCCACTAGTAACAAGCTTAAATTATTACAAACAATGCATTCCCTAGACGGTGGAAATGCCTCTGGGCAGACGCAGTGGTTACATACACCAGAAAGGAAAGCTTTCTGATATGAATATCATTAGGATTTATATCTGTGATTCTTTTTTTTTAAAACAACAATACAGAACTCTGTCCATAGACATAAGTTAAGCGATAATTCTAAGTAACTTCAAGAAGTTCGTCCCCCGGAAGCGCATCCTTCAAACAACCAAAGCTAAGTCATACCTGTAAGATATGATCTCTTTCAGATGATTGGTTAAGAGTTTCCCCCCGACATTTATCCTAAAAGGAAAGAATTTGTATTTGGTTATCACACATTTCAACGTGAGGAACATTAAGAAATAAGAAATAATTGAAAATCACATGTGCTTACCGAATGATTGCTTCTTTCTTCTTTTTACTTCTGCAGTAAGGGACTATGTGCGTGAAGGAGTAGCCGCTGTCGACAATGATGCAGCACAGCTCAGAAGGATTGTCCCGGAAATACCTGTGTGCGCTGAGCGCCCCGGCTACGGACAACACGGAGAAGCACGTTAACCTGGAACGCTGAAACCAGCAAGCTCAAACGTTAAGTCACGACATCGGAATCGATGCAAGACCTCTGTAATGCTCAACTTCAAAGCATCACAGTTCACAGCGAACACAAAAAGACAAATGTGTGTTGGTTTTGAGGAGTAACTATTTTCTTCATCACTTATGGTAGTTAATACTACAAAATTTAGTTAGCAATGTGTGTGCCAGGCTCCAGTCTAAACTCTACATGATTCATTTCATTCAAACAATCCTTCTTGGAGATGAGGAGGACCCGAGGCATGGAGAAGTCAAGTCACACAACACGAAGAGGCAGAGCCAGGATGCAACCTAGGTGGCATGCCTTCGAAAAGGTTCTCCCAACCTCTATTCACTGGGTGCCTGTGGCTCCATCACAGCTGTGACAACGTCTCCAGACACTGCCATACGTTCCCTGGAAGCGGAATTGGCCCTTGTTGAGAATGCTTCTTGAGGCTATGCTCCTAACTGGCCTAACCTGCGCCTGCTCGTGGACAGCTTAAGACTTGAAACCTGCAAGCTGAATAGCAGGCACAGCTTTTTCATAATATACATTTTTCCCATTAACCCTTTGAGGGCCCTTCATATGCTTGCATTTTTAAATTCTTGCATCAAAAGAGATATATCTTTGAATTCCATTTTCCAGGAATACTTTGGAAGTCTTCTTGTATTTGAGTATTTTCATTGTACACAATCATATAATCCTGTAAGAAACTTGCCTCTAAATGACATTTAGATTGTTCACCCTTCTGTTGGCAGACAAAGCTGTTAATGTTATTTTGAACAATAACAGCAAGTACATCAATGACAAAAAAGGAAGCTCAGTAAATATTTCAGAGATCAGAAACATGGCCAGCAATTTCATATCATATGACAATAATTATAGAAGTTCATGGAAAATAGAATTAGTAACTACATTTACTTTTATGTAAAAAAGGAAAGAAAGAAATCCACGTAGTTTTCCCATAGAATGTATATTCCACAAAATTAAAAATACATTTCCCTTGCCTGGTTAGTATAACCCAAGACAGTAATAATATCCAAGTGTCCATTAAGGTTTTTTGTTTGTTTTTATTCGAAAGTCAGATACACAGAGAAGGAGGAGAGACAGAGAGGAAGATCTTCCATTCGCTGATTCACTGTTTTAGCGGCTGCAACAGCCAAAGCTGAGCTGATCCAAAGCCAGGAACCGGAACTTCTTCCAGGTCTTCCATGCAAGTACAGGGTCCCAAAGCTTTGGACTACCCTTGACTGCTTTGCCAGGCCACAAGCAGGGAGCTGGATGGGAAGAAGAGCCACTGGGAATCCCAACGAGCACAAGGCAAGGACTTTAGCTGCTAGGCTACCTCACTGGACCCCACTAAGTTTTAAAATTCTATTTTATTGCCTTCAGACCTAAATAATGCCACTTAGCATTAGGACTTTTAAGAGTTTCTTTAACTTGTTTGTATTCAGATAATTCACTTTCAATGAAAACTTTAACTCACCATTTACTCGCAATACTGCTTGAAACTGGTATTCTTCAAACAGAATTTCATTCATTGATTCTTGAATTGAAGTGAAGTTAAAATATGGTTCTGTGATAATAATATTAGTATCCAAAAAATCAACCTATGAGAGAAAATAAAAATGCTTTATAATTTGTAGTAATTATCAACACTAGGCTACATACACTCACACCATTGCTCCTAATAGCACAAAGCAGTCTGATATTATTCACACCCTCAGATACGTAGGCAAAAATATTTTCTTGATAAAATTAAAATGACATGGATGGTGAACGTGTCTAACAGAAATCTCGAACACAATGTTAACGTTCGGACTCAAGGAAGCTGTATCTTGTATGCTGTAAAAATTCAGAAACTCAAAGCTGGGGAAAACCACATTTAAGTGACTCAACTACGGACTGACGATGTATTCCTAAGTGTATAAATGTTAACATCTTCACTTTTTTACTAACACACAGAAGCAGAATTTGAATACATACTCTAATTTGTTACCTGATACATTTCTTTTCCAAAAAGGTAGTCCCAAACTTGTCTCTGAACATCCCAATTCACCAAGTAGCCCTAAAACAATGTTTGAGCAAGTTAGTTATTTAAGAATATTTGAGCAGTTTTCAAAAGTCAGATGAACACAGCACTGCTTCCTATTCGTTTATAGCTGCCTTTCCCCAAATCACGCTGCATGAATTGCAAATCAAGTATGTGGAAATTTTTTTTTTAAAGTAAAAAAGAAAAAAAAAATCACAAAATAAGAACAGCTAAAATACTAAGAATTCCAAAGACACACCAATACACAGAGATGCTTCTCTGTACCTTTTTGAATTTGTCATGTCCACCACTTAGATTCAACATAAAATTCAGTACGCACAAACAATGACTAAATCCAAGCTATTTACTTTCATCAAAACAACTGAATTTCAATTCTTGGTTTAAGTTGCATCTCGGTTAAATTTTAAATCATCTTTTCTCAGAGCTTTAGAAGTATTCTCATGCATACACACAGTCTTACTTAAAATCTATCTTTAAACTTGGGTCCTCGACGCTAGAAAGGGCGCACGGCGAGGTTACCTTCTGAAAGGGCAGGATGTAGAAGAGTCCGGAAGGGTCCTTTATCTCATCGATCTGGTTAGCGGTGAAAGTTTTAAGCCGTGCTGTTTTTGATCTGAACTGACAGTTAGGAATAACCCTAAAAACAAACAAATAGCATCATTTTTCCTTAAACATTTAGTTCCTAAACATCCTCTTACAGAACTACCATTCTCAGTAGCAAAATGATTATCTTAAGGAACGCTTTCTCATTCCATTTTTTAAAAATTTTGTTTCTTTACTTCGAGGGCAGAGAAAGAGAGAGAGCGCGTGTGCGCACGCAAAATCTTCCATTCATTAATTCAATTCCTCGAATGCCCACCACAGCCAGGGCTGGGCCAGGCTGCAGCCAGGAGCCAGGCATCCAGCTGGGTCTCCCTAGGACTGGAGCCTCCCTCTGCTGCCTCCCAGGGACATTAACAGGGAGCCAGGACTCCGATATGAGATGTGGGACCCCAAGTAGTGACTCCACCTGCCGTGCCCCAACACTGGTCCCCGAAGAATTTCTAAAACATCGTGTGTGTGTGTGTGTGTGTGTGTGTGACATGTCCTTTACTGGACCCTTCATCTCTCTCAATCATCAAGAAATCCTTGCGGATGGCTATTTGTTGGGCCCTCGCAGAGATGAAAGCCACGCCTCTGTAAAGCTCACAGTCTAACGTTCATACGGAAAATTCGTAATATCACTGAAGCAGTTCAAAATGCTGGCCATAAAATTAAGTTCCCAGGGAGCCCAAGATGTACAGTCAGCGAGATCAAGACGTTACACAGTAGGAAAGTTCAGATCTACTTTCAAATTGGGGTGTATGTCTACCATGAACTCACACCACATGGGGAAGACAGATCAACCCCACAACTGCAACGAACTATTTTGCACCTGCTTATTCACATAGGACACCATCAGCATTCTGCCCACCTGTTAACAGTTCCTTGAGGACAGAGCCTTAAGAAGCAACCTGTCAGCCTCGAGAGAATAAAGCATGCACGCTTTGCATCTGGCCCTTAGTTGTTCTCACCTGGCTCGCTTCTCCTTTCCCGCCCACGGCTAACACAGAGCACCCCCCTCAAGTCCAACACCAAGCACCTTACCCGCATTTCAACATACGCGCCCCAGGAAGAGGAGCCCCTGACAGTCCGCTTCACACACAAATGAAAGAGGGGAGAAGAGGAAAGCAAAGCAAAATTCTGTGAACCGGCTAAGAGCAAAAGCGGAGTTGATGAGCACGCCCTGTGACGAATGCCACAGTCAGGGACACACGCCTCCCCAGCCTATGCGACTGACCCCAAGACGGGGGTGTTGGGGTGCTTCATCTGTGCAGCTCCCAGGCTGAGGAGTGCACCCCAACAAGCCCATTTCCCTCGCTTATTTCCCGTTGCCAAAAGCAGGCGTGCAGCCCACTTCCGCGCACGGCCCGTTCCGAGCACCCCACCGCGCGGGGACGGAAGGCCGGCGAGGCGCACGCCAACACTTACGAGACCTGTTCGTGGCTGTAGCCGATTTTGGCGTTGTAGGCCCCGTTATCAAGCACCAGAGTGGTCATCTTGGCTCGAGCTCCAAGCAACCTCCGGCCACTTTTCTCTTCCCACGTCCTCCGCTCTTCCCTCTTCTTCCGGCACTCTATGGTTGGTGGGCGTGGCCACAGGGCACGCTTCCGGTTTCCCTAGCAACGGAGGACGCCGGAAGTCAGCCCACACAGGTTCCTAACTCGACCTGGTTTTGTTTGGCGGCGGAATTATTTTTTCTTTGTATTTTGCTTGTCAGAGGGACTCACGCCTGTCTCTGTGTGCGTGTGTGCGCTTGCGTCCTCATGATGGTAGTATCCCGGTAATGATGTTACGTGGCGAATCACCCGCAAACCACAGACCGAGTGGAGTTGGAGACGCGGACTTTCCCATCCTGTTCCCAGCCTCTCACCTAATGGATCCCCCACCCCGAGTCGCACGTGTAATTTTCCTCAAGCATTTTGCTTGCTTTTAAAACTCACAGTCTCCCTCTCCTCTTCCGCTTCTGCTGCCTAAGTCTTCAGGGCCGAGGTGCCTCTCTTCCTCGTGAGAACCCAAAACAAACGAAGCTTCTGGACGACTGGCAGGCTCTTCTCCATTCTCCCTGTGGGAATCAGGTGCCCCCCATACGCTCCTGCAATGCCCCAGGCCTGTGCTTCTCGAAGGTTCATCTAGTGATCCCAACTCTCCACCCAATGTGGGCCTTGACTGCAGGAGACGAGATAAACCAGTGCTTACTGCGAACCAGGAAACTGTTTCACGCGCTTTTCACACTCATATCAACTGAATGTTCACAGCCCTATCAAAGAGCTGCCGTTATTGAATTCCGACATACAGTGTAAGCGGGCAGCCTCTGAGCTCAGACTGCTGTGTCAAAGCCTGGCTTTGCTGCGCGATGACTCAGCTGACTTAGCAACCCCATGCCTCAGTTCCCTCATTAGTCATCATGGCAATTAAGTACTCTATTAATTATTGTGCACCACAGTGGCAATATTAATCATGAACCCTTGCAAAATTATTTAATGAAGAATAAATGATAAAAATGCTGACAGTAATTGCTCTTTTTAATGTTTGTCTTTGTCCCCAAATGGCCACAACAGACAGGGTGAAGCCAAGAACCCCAAACTCCATCCCGGACAACCACGTGGTCACAGGGGCCCAACCACTTCCACTGCCAGCAGGAAACTGCTCGTAAGCAGAGCAGCCAGGACTCACACAGGCGTTCCTCAGTGGGATGCCACTGTCCCATGTGGCAGCTTGACTCCAATCCAGCATGCCAGTCTTGGCAGTGGTGATAATTATCCTCATCAACCTCTTTTACCATTATCACCCTCTGTTAACTTACCTGGATGGAAAACTCCTTAAAGCCAGACACGATTCTGTTTATGTCTGTTTGCCTTCCATCAAGGCGTTCTGTTCTGTCTTCTCCAGCCTCATTAAAACTTCAAGTGCCGGCGAAGCAGAACCAGAGAGAGAGGGATGGGGGGATCTTTTCTTCCTTGGATTGCTTTCCTCAGGCCAGGAGCCTGGAACTTCCTATCATCTCTAAACTTCATTCTGGTCTCTAAAACTGCTTCTATAAAAGTACTGTAGTATTTATTTCAGTTGGTGGTGTGCCCTAAGATCTCCAAGATGGGTCTAGAGAGCACCAAGGCAGATCCCTCACTCAGGGAAACTTCACCTTCTGTCATTGACTCCAAAATCAGTGCCTTCCTCCATCCCACACAGCCCTGCCTGCATCTCACACCTGCATCCCACACAGCCCTGCCTGCATCTCACACCTGCATCCCACACAGCCCTGCCTGCATCTCACACCTGCATCCCACACAGCCCTGCCTGCATCTCACACCTGCATCTCACACCTGCATCTCACACCTGCATCTCACACCTGCATCCCACACAGCCCGTCTGCATCTCACACCTGCATCTCACACCTGCATCTCACGCCTGCATCTCACACCTGCATCCCACACAGCCCTGCCTGCATCTCACACCTGCATCTCACACCTGCATCCCACATAGCCCGTCTGCATCTCACACCTGCATCTCACACCTGCATCCCACACAGCCCGTCTGCATCTCACGCCTGCATCTCACACCTGCATCTCAGGCTGCCTTTTCTCTCACCTGACTTAACACCACAGGGTTTCCAGTTTCTCTCCTGCCACATTTCTCCACTTGTTTGTACTGACAGCATCATTATCAGAACATACTATTCTAAATCACAAATCTGATTTTCCCAAAGCCCACACTGGGGTGCAGTGACGCAGCTGATGTGTCTGGGAAGGTAGCAAAAGATGGCCCACTGGGCCTGCTGCCACCAATGGGAGAACAGAATTGCCTGTGAAATGAAGTTCATATATTTCCAGTTACAAATTCATCCCCCTTCAGGCCACCTTTCAGAGGTGTGATGGTAAAGATTTAGCCAGAAGATAACTTGGGCCAGGGCAAGGAAGTAGGATAGATATGACCAGGATTGTGCCTGGAACACACACACTGTGTTCCTGGGTCATGGCCTCATGCACCACTTTGTTGCTGTGGCTAAAATAGAATGCAGCATTCCTACTCTCTTGGCTTTTGGGGATCGTGATATGGGATCAGCTAGACACTGTGCCCAGCACAGTCCCTGAGACCCACAAGGGCTCAAGTCACACAGGGAACCAGGGGTCTGCACGGGTTTGCAATCAGCATGGGCCTTTCTGGGATGAGATACCAAGGGAATGAGTTCAGATGAGGCAAAGCCACCTGCTCAAATCAGGCTGGTAGCGGGTGCTGCTGTGCCTCAGGTCTCAGCTGCAGTGTTAAGCTATTAGTCCAATGGAAGCTGCCAAGCCACAAACTGTTACTCCACAACTTGGTGGTCCTCTAGAAATTTTTTTCTCTCCACTGCTACCACTAATCACCCCAATTGTGGAGTCAGGGTGTCCATAACCTCTCATTAGAGAATGCACTAAACAAGAAGAAAAATGTTTCCGAGCCTCTCTTCATGACAATCTAGCAGTGACATCTGTGAGGATTTAGGACAAAGGAGAAAGGTGAAAATAAGACATACAGGCCCAGTCATCAGACTGGGAAGCCTGAAGGATGGAAAGTTGATGGGACGAGTTCGTGCACTGGCTTGAAACCATGAAGAAAAGCATAAATCATTACCCCAGAAAAATGTGGGCATGCACTTGTGCAAATATGCCTGCAGAGTTTTAATATAGTTTCAAAAAAGCATTAGACCCCTTTGGAACTGAATTAGAAAACTAAACATCAGCTGATCCAATGGCTTCCAGACGTGGTCAGGGAACTCCATCCAAATCAAAACAAAAGGTGACTCTGTTGGGTCACACAGTGGTTGAGAAGCGTGATGCCATGGGATCCCCAGAGCGCGTTTAGCAGTCATTACTGTAAACACTTCTGGGATTGCCACTTGCAGGTAAGATAGTGTGCTGCTGCCATCTAGTGGTGATAGTCCAGGAATGCTGCTTGATACTCTACCATGCACAAAAATGCCTCACAACAGCGTACAATCTGATGCAAAATATCAACAATGTCAAGGTTAGCAAACTCTGGTCTAATGTAGCAAAATATATTCAGTCAAGTGGATGGAGAACAGGATATAGCACTACTCCAGTTTCTGACAAACCAAGATTACAACTGGGCTCAGCTCTGAGACCTAGGGCCACCTACTGAACTTCTCTGAACTTCAGTTTCCACATCTCGTTAATGGAGGTGAACATGGAATTTACCTCCCAGAGTAAGCATGTTATGCATATCACTGTTCATGCATAAGAAAAAAAGAGCAGACATTCTTATCTTTATTACTTTTAGTATTGTTGTTGAGGAGAGTTTCATTAATGAGGGGATTGGCTTTCGATAACACAAAGAAGATGGGTTGGTGTGTTAACCCACCACCTGTAGCGTTGACGTCCCTGCGGACACTGGCTGTTCTGCTTCTGATCCAGCTCCCTGCTAATGTGCCTGGGAATGCAGCAGAAGGTAACAGACGCACAGAGGGGATGCTGATGGAGTTCCTGACTCCTGACTTCAACCTGGCCCGGCAGCACCAGTTGCGGCAACTTTTGAAATGGAAGATCAACTTTTTAAGTGGAAGATCTCTCTTTCTGTGTCTCTCCTTCCCTGTCTGTAATTTTGCCTTCCAGATAAATAAATCTCAAAAAAATGATCTCAGGAAAGTGTCTCCCCCTGGATAACTACAGGTATCGAGGAGATGAGTAAGCTGCAAGCGTCTGACAAGATCTAAACCAAGCAGGAGACTGGCTCCTCCTCCTCATGTAGCCCATGTAGCAGCTGTACGGTGTATGAACTTCTGTCCCATCCCTTACTTTGAAGAAGTCAGCCAGCTCATGCCTGTGTCTGGTATGGAGGGATTCGGTGAGACTCTCCCCTGCCGTGTATAGCTGCTTTCACCAATGAAAACACCAACATTCATCCTTAGGGGTACATTTTGATTTGCTAAATCTAAGTTACCTATCTTCACTTGGGATCCCCTAAAGGCAGAGCCTGAATGGAGAATTTGTGCTCAAGTTGTTTGAGTTCGCTAGATGATGCTATGGATAAAGGGGAAATGAGACACAAAAGAGAAAAACCCAGTGTAAGGTGCATTACCAAGGTCATGACTGTGGCTCAGTACATTCCAATGGTCTAACAAGTACAATTCCAGCAAGACCTTTATTCCTACCTTTTTTTTTAAAGGGTGAGGGACACTTACTTTTTTCTCTTTAAGACTTATTTATTTTATTTGAAAGATTTTACAGAGAAAAGAAGAGTCAGAGACAGATCCTCCATCCACTGGTCACTCCCCAAGTGGCCACAATGGCTGGAATTGAGCTGATCCAAAACCAGGAGTCAGGGTCCGCCTCCGGTCAGCCATGTGGGTGCAATAGCCCAAGAACATGACCAATCCTCCACTGCCTTTTCAGGTCATAAACACAGAGCTGAAACAGAAGTGAAACACCCAGGACACAAGCTGTCACTCACAAGGAATGCAGGGCAGAGGATCAGCCTGTTGAACCACCACTCCAACCCCACAACAAGACCGTTTAAAAGGGGCCTAGGTACCTCCAGGATTGTCTGCTAGAAAGAGCTGGAATGTCT